GGGGGGGCGGCCCCTTCTTCGGGACGCAGAAGCGATCTGGCGACAGGTAAGTCGCCAGGATCGCTTCTGTTGTAAAGCCGACAGTCGGCTCTACAAGTTTAAACAGAGTCCCGGCGGCAAAAGTCGCCGGGAGTCTGTTTAAACAGCCCCGATGCTGGCGACGTACACTGTACGTCGTCAGTCACGAAGGGGTTAAAGGGATTTTTGGTGTGCTGGTGACATTCCTTATATGATTAGTTCCCATTCAGGTTCCCACCTTCTTTGTTTGTGACAGCGGGCGACAGTGGATGGATTCCATGGCGACCAATGTGCTGTGAACTAGTCTCTCAGCCCCCCCACCCAATCTCAACATTCCTTGCCTGCTAAGCCTATCTGTGTGACAGGTGCAGTGACCAGGCAGGTAGCTCAGTAACGCTGACCTGTGATTTTATCAGGCTCAGTATTACTGAGCTGCACCCAGGACAGAGTGTACGTTATGAACAATCCAACCTCTGTGCTGCCTACCTGCAACAAATTCATGTACCTTGTTTATTAATTTGTTGTGAAGAGATATCATCAACATGACAAACACAGCAATATTCAGTGAATCTTCGTTTTTATTTTTCAGAAGTCACTCAAAGTAGAATCAAGCGCAGGGTCCCCTTCATCAGGCTTAAAGTGCAGGGTCCCCTTCATCAGGCTTAAAGTGAACCTGCGGAGTCACTGCGAGCACCCACTTTTTCCTATGGGAATTCCGGTAAGGTGTGCTACAGGTCTTTAGACATTTGTTTATTAATTTGTCACAAGTGCTGACATTTGTCTTGCAGGGGCACGCCGCACGACAGAACTCTAAAGAGTGTTTACGGCACTAAACAGTATTGCATTTGTTATTTTGAACAACCAGTGTAAAGGAAAAGTAGAAGGTTTAACCAGTCATTATTTGCTTACTAATTCTTCATGGTCTGTGAAACTAGGGGGAGTGTCAGGGGTGTGTTCTTTGCCTATTATTATTCTTTTATTTCTCACCTGTTGCAGAATTATATATAGTAAGAATTGCCCCTCCTCCAATTCCCATGCTGTGAGCATTTACGAGTCCAACGCACACCAAAGAAGCAATAGCTGCATCGACTGCTGTTCCACCATCTTTAAGAACATCCCTGTAAATAAGAGTAACAGAGAACACTCAGTTATACTAGAAAACACAAATGTGCAGTCAACTAATTGGTACAATACACGTGAATCCTTGCAATTATTCTTATGGCTTTCTCTAAGACTTAGGAAAGGTTTTTAGGGATATACTGTATCTTACAATGGTCAGATTTAATTATATGAATGAGCTGTACTCCAGACAGAACCTTGTAATCATTATTCAGAAAGTCGGTTCTTACCTTAAAGCTGAACTCCGGGTATATATGTATGTGCACTTGCATTGGTCTAGCTTGGCCCAATGTAAGTATACATATTTCATACCTGGTAGGCAGGGCCGTCTCTAACGCAGGGCAAAAGGGTCAGTTGCCCAGGGCCCAGTCGTTGTTGTGGGGCCCAAAGCAGCTGCCCCTTCAGCCCACATAAGATACACACGTGCAGGGCTGGCAGCCTCACCTGTGTAGGCAAGGGGGCTTGCACCAGCCTTGCCTCCTGTCTGTGTACACGGCGTCGGAGCTCTACAGACAGGAGGCTACATACAGTACTATGGATGGCACTCCGCCCCCTATCAACTCGGCCCCGCCCCCTGCTTCTCTCTGTACTCCGTGTGCCTGTGTGAGCGGGCCTGCTGGGAGCCTGCATCGTGCCCTGAGCTGTCACCTCTGCTGTGTTCCCTCTCTACATCTTCACACCAAGTAAGTGCCCATATATGCCACAGTATATGTATGCAACAGATACATATACTGTGTGCAATACATTCATATTAGAGCAGATTTCTGATATTGCTTCTGTTCAATCCATGCTGCTGAAGCAGGATTGATAATTTTTATAGGAAATGTCATCACATTCTATGGCTGCAGCAAAGCTTCCTGTGCTTTCAATACTAGGGATTAAATGTTAAATTATCTATAGGTGCTATAGATAATTTAACACTGTCTATAAAGCGCAGTGCTCTTTTATAATTGTCTAGGGATGTACCTGCACCGATACCTGCACAGCCCACCTGAGACCATGTACAACAAGCCTGAGAACCCCGCACAGTCCGCCTGAGATCCTGTAAAGTCCTCGGAGACCCTGCATATGAGTGTCCTCTCTCTCTCCTCACTCTCCTTCCTGGCTGTCTCTTCTCGCTCTCTTCGGGCTGTCTCTCCTTGCTCTCCCTCCTGGCTGTCTCTCCTCGCTCTCCCTCATGGCTGTCTCTTCTCCCTCTCCATCCTGGCTGTCTCTTCTCGCTCTCTCTCCTGGCTGTCTCTCCTCCCTCTCCCTCCTGGCTGTCTCTCCTCACTCTCCCTCCTGGCTGTCTCTTCTCACACTCTCTCCTTGCTGTCTCTTCTTGCTCTTTCTTCTGGCTGTCTTTCCTCGATCTCTCTCCTGGCTGTCTCTCTCCTGGATGTCTCTCCTTGTTCTCTTCCCTGGATGTCTCTGCTCACTCTATCCTGGCTGTCTCTTCCCACTCTCTCTTCTTGCTCTTCCCTGGCTGTTTCTCCTCTCTCCTCACTCTCTCTCCTGGCTGTCTCCCCTCTCTCTATCCTGGCTGTCTCTTCTCTCTCTCCTGCCTGTCTCTTCTCTCTCTCTCTCCTGCCTGTCTCTTCTCTCTCT